ACTTTGACAGCCTTACTGCCAATCGCCGACACTTTCACTCAGTCCGTTATCGTATAATTATGATACATTTTTTAAGAAAATCGCATTCGATCCATTGTATCGTACACTTGAGCTTTGTACGAATATGTGTATTCATTTCTTGATCGTCCCATACACTTACACAAGTCGAGATTACAATTCTTTTCTGACCAATCGCTTTCACCGAGTCGTTAGACTCACAAATTGCCGGCTTTTTCGATGCATTTGTAAATCGTTTCGCTTCGATGGAACGCTATCGGATACAGGAATCGTTTGGCTCGCGCGTAAGTGCCGATTAAATTAAAAAGAAATAGCCGAAGGCAGGTTAAGCGATGGAAGAAGCGATCTTTGCGAAAATAACTTCTCGTCTCGAAATAGAGAACGTTCGCTTAAATCGATCGAACGAATGATAACATTCGGATGAAAAGTAATATATTCGTATGCTAATTACAGCTGGACCAACGCAGAAGTATGTACTGGCATCATCCAGATCCATCGGGAGTGATCCTGGACGAATCGCAATCAGGCAGAACGATTAACGTGCAACGAGGCTTCGACGTGGACAAAAGTAAACTGTCCCAGAAAGAAGAGTCCGAGATCAACACCGGAGACAGTTCCAACATCCAGAAATCTCGTCATTCCTCCTCGTCTTCGTCTAAAGCGATCACCAGCGAAACAAGAAGGTTCCAATTATCCGACACTGGGAGCAAGCCGGACGTCCTGATCACCACCTACACTCAAAACAATTCAGGGACCAGCTCTATAAATACGGCAGACTTAGCCGCTGGCAACAGAGGCGTGGTTTTTCACACGGAGTCTGGCGGTTACGGAGAGACGGCTACGTTGGGCGGTGGTTTCCGGCCCAGTGACGGTAACAGTCTAGGTGCAAGAGTACCAGACTTCGAAGGAGGCCATGGATCGTACGTGAACCATTCCGAAACCTTCGTAAACCGCTGGGGCGAGACCAGCGTTTCTGGTGGTCGCTCGTCTTCGTCGGATAGATACGGCTCTAACGTAAACGAGAACGATGAAAGCTACCAGGAGCTATTAAGACAACGACAGGCGCAACGTGAACGCGAGGAGGAGGCTCGATTGGAACGTCAGAGAAAAAAGGAACAACACATGGCTGCGCAAAGACAACGAGAGGAGCAAGAACGTTTGTATTATCAGAGAAGACAGGAAGAAGAACGCAGAAGGGCGGACGAGGAGATGAGGAAGAGACAGGAGGAGGAACGAAGACAACAGCAAGAAGAAGAGATACGAAGGCAACAGGAGGAACAACGAAGAAGAATAGAGGAAGAGGAATATAGGCTGGAGCAGGAGAAACGTTACGGCAGTTCCTCCGAACATCGTGGAGTTCAGAGTGGTTTCATCAGCGGTGATCGAGAAGAAACTGTACGAGGAGGTGAATTCGGATTCCAACTACGTAACGTCAGCTCCACGCAGGACCTGGCGCGACTCTTTGGATCCTTATCGAAGTCAGCGACTGGTTACGAATTGTTCAACAGACAGGGCAAACAATATGTTCAGTTCATGGGAAGATTCCGAAATTCTGCCGACAGAAGGGAGTATATAGAGTTTCAAGATGGATCTACGTTCCCTCTTCAGGACCGTTACGGAGGAGAGAGTTACGTTTCTGGATCTACGGAGACCAGAGACGGTAGATTCTTGAAGATAGAGGGTGAACTTCTGGTCGATTCGAGCGGAAAAGGGTTCATCGTGCTCAAAGATGGTCGCAGATTCCCTCTGCAGGGCTCGTTTACCTACACCGAGGAAAGAACCTATACGTTGGATCCATATAGTTACCAGGGAGGTAGAACCGGCAGCGAATACGAAACGAAGGGTTACAGTAAATCCTGGAACGAGGAATCTAGCCAAGCTGCTGGCATAGGAAGCGACTACGAGTCCAAGTATACCAGCACGCACGAGGAAAGAAGAATAGAAGACAGAAGAGTAACTAGCAGAGTCTACGGAAGAGAGAACCGCGATACTCCCGAGGAACGTTTATCGACTAAGATTCCAAATTCCAACGATGGTTCTAGATTCAGGCGAGAAAGCGATATGGTTAATGTGAGGGAATTTAAAAAATTCGAGAAGCTCCATAGAATACCTAGGGATCTTGAAAACGACCCTTTAATGCCAGAAGCAGAATTCGACGAGGAAGATTACGAGAGCGATCTAAGAAAGCAGGAACCGGTTAGTCTTTGCAAGACAGCCAAATGCGTGATGCTGAGATGCGTTTTGGGTCCACTGAAGAAGGACCAGGAAGTTTGGATCGGAGCTAGGTACAGAGTGGACGCAAGAACGCTGAAGAAGGTCGCTCTGCAGGAAAAAGTCAGGGTTTCGACTCGATTGGAGGCACAAGTCACCAAGCAACCGTTCATAGGCGCACCTGCCGAACAGGTGACCAAGAGCCACGAAATTAAGACGAACGTCGAGCCAAGCATAACACCATCTGCGCCGGATGTTATTCCGCTCTGGGTCGTGGTACTCTCTGCCTGCGCTGGAACGATCATCCTATTACTGCTTATTTTCCTGCTGCACAAGGTTTGTTTATGCAAATTAAGCGATACGAGTTTGCGTAAGACGATGTACGATGATATCAAGGCTTGTTTGTTGAAAGTATCTATCGAGTGTTGTAATCTCTCTAAACTTTTCTTATCCTTCTAGAAACATTTACATTCTGTTCTCGTTTTTGCTAAAAATCTTTCATTAGAAAAATCGAGGAATCTCGAGGAATATTCGTTGAGAATGTTGTTGATATTACACAAGTACATCTTCCGTAAAGCCTTAAAACCGAATAAGGTAAAGAACTGAAACGATTTTACAAAATACCTTTTTATTTCTTCGACAGTGCGGGTTCTTCAAGAGGAATAGACCGTCAGATGCACCAGAGAGGCAACCATTGAACAGGAACGGCCACTTCCAGCAGGGTGACGACCACTGAGAAAAAGGGCCAAGTATCCATCGATGGAATTCATTTGAAATCTCGAAAGTCGAACTGAACGAACGAGCCATGAAGGGCCTTTTAATCCTCGAATCTCGCGAACGAACAAATTTACGCACTGCCTGGATCACGGCTCGTCCTAACTGTAATACAGTCCCGTGTCAAGCAGCACTGTGACTAATATTACGATTATTGTAATTAACAAAATCGCGAGTGCCTTTATCTCCAGCCCCCGAACGAGGAAACTGCTCGAGCATTTTTACTTACATCGAATTACGAACGAATAAGCGATGTAGAAAAGGTTCTGGGGTTAATCTGCGATTATTTTCTACTGCCACTGAATACTCCTTCCAGCTCCTGCAGCTCGATCATGCAAGTTTCTAGTCAGGAGACGTTTTTCTTTTTCTTTTAATTATTATTATTATTATTATTATGATTATGTCATTTTTTAATTACCTGTAATTTACTTAAGCCACATGCTCGTCGATGATTACGAGCGAATACGAAGATCGATCGAACTGCCTCGATGACGTGGAGGTCGAAGTGGCCTGCAGATACACCTTGCAATTTATGGAAAATAGATTGCACTTTTTCACTCCGTGTAGAATTTATCGTAATCTTTCCTTTTTTTTTAAAGGAAACGTCCGCTTTGGAGAATTCTTGAAGAAAATAAGATCAAAGGGTGAACGAGTTTTTTATTTTATCGGTCTTGTACAAACGCTGATTATATTCCGGGGCTTGAGCAATTGCAAAATAGTTGAGATTACCAAGAGAAGAATGTCTAGTTCTGTGTTGTAAATATACTATAGTATATTTATTCTGGCTTACCTGGTGGAATATTCGGAATAATAATTTATTAATTCTATTTTCCATTAGAAGAACGTTTAATCGGCTCGAATGCTTCGATTCACGTCGATAGAGATCTCATTCGTCGCCGACATCGGCAGTCGATTTTATATTTGTTCTCCTTTTTAAAACAAGCTCGAGAACGGGAGTTTTCGATTATTTATTATAATTTCTACATTATTATATGTATATGTAACGTATGATAGAGCGTCGTAACGTGAAACCGGGGCTTGCCCTGACTGTATGTGTGTACAATCTTGTAAATTATTAACTGTATTACTAAAAACCGTTCAGAAAGTAACTAGCTAACACAAATTAATAATTGTGTAGAGAGCGAACGAATTCCTGAATAAGCGGGAAAGTAGAAACTGACTTGTACATACAGAGTTAAGGTGTAATATTAGAAGAAAAAAAAAATATATATATATATTAATTAATAATATTATTAATATTAAAGATGGTATTTTATTTTTAAATGTGGGTGAAAAATCACCTCTGACAAAATTACTTTATCAATTCTAAGAAATCTAGAATTTTTTAAGGAGAATAATTTTGAAAATATATGTCATGAAAATGGAGAATTAATTAATTTTTTATTGAGACCAATTAGTAATCTCGATGGCATGATCCCCCTTTATTTTAGACCTATTCCCTTTTAAATAAATAAATAAATTCGTACCCTTGTATCAGGAGATTCGTCAGAATATGATCGGAAACAATTAATTTTTCGTATAATCATTTATTAGAAAAATCACAATGACGTAACAGCAGTAGACATAAAACAAATGCATGATTAGCATGAATATCATACTCTCACTGTTGTTTCTACGATAGTTGTATGGATCGTTTTTTGTTAGACCTGCATTAATTTGTAAAGTTACGTCGCGCATAAATGATAAGAAAATTGTTCCAGATATAAAAAAATATATCTTTCGATAATCTTGATTTATTTGATAGATTTTGACAATGTTTCTACTCTCTCACTCTCTCACACATACACACACTCTTTCTCTTATTTTCACTTTTCATTGTCTTTGATAAAATTTATACAAAAATAATCTTATGAGTACAATCATTTTGTAAAATATATTACCGTATTTCGTTTAATATTTTAATTCTTGCGTTTTAAGAACCTCGAAGTAGAAAAAGTGTTTAGAAAAATTTCTGGTTCTTTCAATGATTGATTTAATTTTCGATCGAGCGAAAATGGTCTGCGTATATTCGTGAGACAAAATGAAATCTGCCACCGGGACGAAGTAAATCTTGTAAAAAAGCGTCTTCGTATTTTTTTCCCCCGGTTTCTGCCTTCTCTAATGAGTTGTCGTTGGGAAAAACGGTACAAAAGTCAATATTTTAAAAAACATACATATAAAAAAAGGAAATCATGAAACGTTTCGTACAGACATACTCATCCACCTCTAGGATTATTGCTAAAAATATTAATCTTTCGTTATATACACGTATTGTTAGCCCTTCAACGCCCTATTTTTTCGTTATTTTTATCAAAATTTGTTGATAATTTAGTAAAATATTTTTGTATACCAATTTAACTTATCTCGTTTAAACGTTCAGTCTTCGAAACTTCAATATTCGAAAGATCGAAATAATTTTCGAACTTTGATAAATTTTTTGAATTTCTCAAATTCAGTGATCAAAGTAGTGTGTCGTTGAAGAGAAAACAATTTACCAAGCAGAATGGTTTACGTGTATGTGTTATCTTCCATTTAAGATACATCGAGAAAACAAAATAAATATATTCACCATCTTCGGCAGTGTGAGGTCGATACTCTTCAAAAACTAATGTGCTATCGAACAATATGTATGTACAATATTATGTATATACGATGGCCACTGAATGCGTACCAGATATTTCGTTTCGATCCTTGCCGAAAAATTACGATCAACGCGAAATTTTGTTTTCTCTAACGTCTTGCTTGATAATTTACAATAATCTCGATCAGGCGGAGGCTAACTAAAAGATTTACAATTTACGGTCGATAATTGAGTTATGTTTATACGAGCCGATGTCGTGAGATAAGAAAATACTAAATACGATTAACAATGTAGTTGTACCCGTAATCATTAACACCCGCGACATCATCAAGACATAATCTTGGAATTTCCCTAGTTTCTATGTACGAATAATTGAACTTCTTTTCGAACAGGATAAACGCATGGACCAAAATAATAAACAACGTTTTTTCAAAATTCAATCCTCGATTTGTTTATGACTATACTTCAAAATTCACGTCTAAACTTCATTGTCTTTGCATGTAACTAAATCATACACTTCTTCCTGAGGGTCATCCTCGTATCAGCTATCCGGAACCTGAAGACAGACAAATTAATTAATAAGCATTAATTAAAAATATTTATATATATTTGGCTATGGGTATTTTAAGTAATCGATCATCCTTACTTTCCATTGTAGTTGGTTGCCAACGTTGTAAAGCTCCTTTAACGATTCCGCCAGCTTTCCAGAATTCTCTAACTCTTTGTATTTACGATACAACTCGAGAGCAGCCCTGGCATCTTCAGTAGAGTCGTGTGTTTCCGACTGAATCTTCTTACCCAAAAAGTGCCACGTAAGAAAACGCAGCGATACCATACGATGACGAGGTAAATGAAACAGCAATACTGTGTCTACGACCTGCTCCGGTGGAACGACTAAATTTATCACTCTGTGAACAACGAGAAAAAAACATATGTAAAATCAATATGATTAAGGTGATATTAGACGTGTTAGTATATTAAAAAGACGAGTAGTAAAAATGTAATAGTCAATGTATATTAAAATCACTTTAAATATAAGCACAGAGATAGAGTATGTCGATCGTAACCGTCGCTCACTCAATTTTACCGTATGTCTCGCTATAATAATTCGCTATGCTGATCGCTATATTGACTCGCTATGTTACTCGAATCAGCGTATGTTAATCGAAACAGCGTCAACACTAAGGCACAACAATATGAGTTACTCCCGATTCGAATTGTCCTATGACTCATATGTCGCTACATAATAAAAGCAAAAAGTAATTACCTAAAATCATTCTTCAGGCCATGACACTTCAAAATTGTCGTCTAAACTTCATTGTCTTTGCATGTAACTAAATCATACACTTCTTCCTGAGGGTCATCCTCGTATCAGCTATCCGGAACCTGAAGACAGACAAATTAATTAATAAGCATTAATTAAAAATATTTATATATATTTGGCTATGGGTATTTTAAGTAATCGATCATCCTTACTTTCCATTGTAGTTGGTTGCCAACGTTGTAAAGCTCCTTTAACGATTCCGCCAGCTTTCCAGAATTCTCTAACTCTTTGTATTTACGATACAACTCGAGAGCAGCCCTGGCATCTTCAGTAGAGTCGTGTGTTTCCGACTGAATCTTCTTACCCAAAAAGTGCCACGTAAGAAAACGCAGCGATACCATACGATGACGAGGTAAATGAAACAGCAATACTGTGTCTACGACCTGCTCCGGTGGAACGACTAAATTTATCACTCTGTGAACAACGAGAAAAAAACATATGTAAAATCAATATGATTAAGGTGATATTAGACGTGTTAGTATATTAAAAAGACGAGTAGTAAAAATGTAATAGTCAATGTATATTAAAATCACTTTAAATATAAGCACAGAGATAGAGTATGTCGATCGTAACCGTCGCTCACTCAATTTTACCGTATGTCTCGCTATAATAATTCGCTATGCTGATCGCTATATTGACTCGCTATGTTACTCGAATCAGCGTATGTTAATCGAAACAGCGTCAACACTAAGGCACAACAATATGAGTTACTCCCGATTCGAATTGTCCTATGACTCATATGTCGCTACATAATAAAAGCAAAAAGTAATTACCTAAAATCATTCTTCAGGCCATGACCAACGAACATGATCCCATTATCAACGAGAAATCGTAGTTTTTGGTACGTTGATTTTAGAGTTGTTAAGTGCTTGCTACTAAAGTTTGCGTCCAAATCACCTGGTTGAATCCCACTGAATTTTGTCAGGTAATCTACTACCTGTTCTTGAGTGCTTATGTAATCGTCTATAAAGGGAGTTCCTTCTAGAGGACCTTGGCTGTTTAAGGGATTAAAAAAATATTAAGCAAGAAACATAGTGATCCAAAAAATGGCTATACTAATGTAAGAATGATAAGAAAATAGTTAAAAATTGTACATACCCACGTATACAAGTTATACGTGCAACAGACATGTGACTTGGTTTTATAGTGGACATTTTTCCATCGCTACGAAGTTCAGATTCTTCCTGATTCAACGTTACAAATTCAGCGTCAATTCCAACTAGTTCACCTATAGAAATAATTTTATCAGTTAATACCATTTTATGTATGTAATTTAATGTCTTTTATTTCTATATTTGAGAGAAACCTGTTTTAGGCATTTCGTCGGACGTCAATGGGGTAAACGTGATACCCCTTGTCCCTCCACTGCGAGCGATACATTTATCTTCACCAAATACATCATAGGTAAGCGGACTGACAAATGGTGCTGGTTCAGGTGCAGGTACAGCAGTATAATGAAGGACACATGGAACCTTCCAATCAAGATTGAACCATACCGCTTCTTGCGGTGTCACTGCGGATATACTAAACAAAATAGACAAATTTTCATTGCAACTTAAAACAAAACTCTATAAAACTAACGAAGAAAGTAAGATTCCAATTTAGAACATTTGTATGCATAGAAAACTTTTCGAAGTTTTCCATCATTCATGCCATCCATACGATTCATTGTCGATTATTCTAATATCATTGAGTACAGAAAATGAATTACATTTACGTACCAAAAATCGTTAAAAATGTACCACTGCGACACCGCACTGCCAGCCGATCGTTCATGATAATTTGGCCCGACTCGCAATAGCGCAACGATATTCCTCTTATCTTCATTACTCTTATCATCGATGTAGCAAACCACAGCACTAAGACTATACCGAATTTTGCTTATCTTATCCAAATTTTCATCAGATTTGTTTCCTTTCTCCACATCGTCATTTCGTACTGCGTTAACATGATTTTTAACCACTTTCTCTTCTTCTCCGGAGATCTCAGATTCTTGTATCCTATTATCCCCTTGACCATTTTCTACTATGACCTCATTGACCGTTTTACTACTTTCGTTAGAGTCGCTCTTTGGAGTGCTGATTTTTTCTACGAATAATTCACAATTGCTATCCAAAGAGATCTCTATATCGTGTGGAATCCACGAATGAGAATAGTATAAATGACTAGGCGGTGTTGTGACCGATTGCGGTGTGGAAGTTGTTATGGGTGGAGTAACTGGTGGCGTTTGTATATTTTCTAATAAAAAATTTAAATAAAACAGATCGAAAATGTTAGTTATGTAAGATATAATGAAAATTCTGAAAAATTGTAAAATGGATTGTAACTGTACCTGGATCTCTGCCAATGTGTCTGAACCTACAGCCAATACGAGTACAATTGTTGCCATATCGACATGGTTTCGCAGTAATGGGGACAGGACTCGAAGATGGACTACTTTCTTTGCCATTTAATACTTTTTGAACGACTATATCCATTTGCGCTTGCCAGAATGCTTTATCCTACAATAGTGGTAATTTTAGAATGTTAAAAGTCATCATGGAAATTAGTATATGCTTGCAGTCTATGAGATGCAGTCATGAAAGAACTCTGATAATTAGTTATTAAATTATTCAATGTGCAGGACATGATTAGGAATAATGAGTAACGAAGTATTTCATATCGAATATTATAAATAGTGACATTGCGGAATTGGTAAAATAATATTGGATATTGGTAAAATAATAGTAATTGTAAAACTTTTTCATATTACTCAAGAATATTTTTATATTTATGACTGTTCCCTGTTATAACTGCTAGATTTTTATATGAAACACTTATAAGATTGTGTTTGATGTACCTGCTGTGTATCTAAACCACAATTCAGAGCTAATATTTGAGGTAGTTTAGTCAGTTGTCGAGACTGGAGTGTGGGTGTAAACTTCTGACAATTGTCACACCATGCAGGTGTAATTTTCTCGGGTCTTAAACTACGGATAAGAACATTCGTAAATGGAACTTCTTCGGCTGCAAAGGATAAAAATTCATTCATTTTGTATAATGATAATTGATGTGTATATCCAACATACATATAGCATAAATAATGGCTTACAAGGATGCGTTAATTCCGGATAAACTAAGTTACATAGCAACATGATGGAATGTTTTGTAGCTTCTTGCCCACATTTGAGACAGCGGTGTATATGCATTTGTTCGGATCCAAACAGACGACTGATCTCTGTCTCTTCATCTCGTACTTCGTTCTCCTCGATAGATTTTTTGCTGTTTTTGTCTATTCGGAATAAATATTTGTATAAGTTTTTTCGTATATCATTATTTTTTTTGTAGTTGTAAGATAGCATACGTTAGTAATGGAAATTTATAAAAAAATACATAAAAAATTCAATAGCCTTTCATGATGATCTATTTACTACTATACTAATTTCAGGAGAATAGTATTTGTATTGGCAATGCATTATTGCTATCCTTTTTTTTTTACAAATAATATCGCTATTTAAAATATTCTGATTTTCTTCTTAAAAATATAAAATGAAAAGTTTAATGAATTTATTGAAAATCACAGCAATGCAGACGCAAAACAAATTTTTGCAAATAGGCTATGCATTCCCAGAAAACAATGTCATCTTTCCTATAAAAAAGAAGAGGAAGTATAGGTAAAAACAAAATTAAAAAAAACGTGCTTAAACAAGAGAATAAAAAACTTTCTGCATAAACCTAGCACAATAAAAAAGAGGATTAACTGGCAACCTCTGTATATCCCAAGAATACAGGTATGAAAATACACATAATTTTTATCACTAAAAAAAAAAAGAAAATTTTTTAAAACTTAAAACTTTAAAACTTAAAATTTCTTTGTATTCTTTGGATATGTCGCCACAATGGTCAAATAAGTGTAACAAATAATCATATACAAAATGAAAAATAAACACAAAAAGTGCCCAATAAAAAGGTTACACATGAATTGTGTTTACCTTTCGATGTGATCCACATATATTTACCATCCTCCTCCTGTTTTTTCCTTTTCTTCCTTTCTTCTGCGTGGCTTCTATATCGGGAGCCAATGTCCTGCAAAATGCTAGGGAAATCCTGTTCGTTATAAACGAATGGAGGACATTTTGGTCCTGATTTAAGCCGAGCAGCTTCCTCTTCCTCCAGTTGCCGTTTCTTTGTTTCCAGAACTTCGTAATGGATCTGATGTAATATAAACCTGTTCCAACTCTGAAATTCAACAGTAGTATTAACATATTAATACTACTGTACAAAATATTTAACACAGACACGGACGTTCGGTATTTAGAGACATACCTGTATCAATCGCATCAAATTCGTTTTCCTTTTGGCTTCCGGGTGGAGATCGCTGAGTATAAGTCCCAAAGCTGCTGCTTCGGGAACCGTTCTGAAAGCTCGTAGGAAATTGGCTGCCTGACAAGGCAGTCCTCGGGACGTGTCTAACATGTGAAACAAGAATCCTAGCTCACAGGATAGGCAGAATTCTCTTTGGCACGAGTGAGAGAGCAGGGCTATTCTTACAGGTTCGCAATAATAAAGTAACTGGAAAATACGTGATAGACATGAGTATCTGAGCTTGTTTCGCTGCAGGAAGAATAAGCTTTCTGGATATTCATTGTGCTGATTGAACTAAGCTTACCTGCAACATAGCGTTACAATAGCTGTTAGGAAGAGTTGCTTCGAGACCGCAGAAGTTGGTGTGATTATACTGATCAAAATCGAATTCATCGTAACCGAGACGTGAATATTTCAACTCGATTTTGCGATAACGTTTAGGTATGGCCACAAAGGTACCGTCATCTGTTTTTGATCGTGAATCGCCACCGAAAAGCTTTGCGACTACTCCCCGACGTTTTTCCAAATTGTAAGGTATCTGCAAAAGAGGTATTATTTATTTTTCTTCAATCAGTCAAACGACTTTCGCTTTTTCTCTTAAATAAATTTAATAAGATTAAAATTACGATGTACTATATGAACGTGATTTACACCATAAAAAAATAAATAATACCTATTGAATACGCGTGGGACCGAGCCAATAAGTTAGGTTTACGTGTATGTCTTACAACCTTTATTTCACTCAAATACAACTTCCATTATTACATTCTTGAAGGAATATATTCTATATAGGCATTAGATATACTATCGATTATTAGCCACAAAATCATTAAACTAGAACAACCATTCGAACGAAATGCATCGATTACAAACGCTCCAACGCGAAATCAAAGGCAGTAAATAGCGTTCTTCTTGAGATTCAAGACTTCAAAATTTGAAACACAATATGACTTGTTGGAAAGTAGATCAAAACTAAAATTACACCACATACGGAGTTAAAGAGCATAACATAAGCCTATAGAGAGCATATTTTAAATAATTCGTGAAACTATATCGCGAATTATGCAATGCAATATATATGTACATCATTTTAGAACACGTTCATTGTAATTCCTAGATTGGCACATTATTCATATTTGTCTTGATAAAAAGTTAGTAAAAAAGTTATTGCTTTTTTGAAGAAATTAAGGCAGATGCAACCATTGCTCTTCAATAACTGCAATTCTACACAGCCATTAAGGTGCTACTGGTATGCAGACCTTAAAATAAATGTCAATATTTCTCAACCTTTCAAAGATATTTAGATAAAATTTAGTAAGATTCTTAAAAATTTGAAATTCGGCTCGAGACAAATTTACTAATGTTTATATTTTATAATAAAATAATAGAATTCAGTAACTATATTCATTATATATAAAAAAAATTTTTATTCTATATTTTCGACTTCTTTTTTCGTGTAGAATCACCCTCTTTCTGCTTGTACCACCAGTTACCAGCCACCATGTATAATTGAAAAATATATTGACTAAAATTAAGAAAAAGATTTGAATATTATGTAATACACGTGTTCAATGTCCTACTTAGATCTTTTTCTCTCATACATATTATCATACAGGAAATTATTAGAATGTTGTAGACTAGCTTATGAAAATATATCACGATCTTTTAAGGTTGTTCATCGACTACAATATTTATCACGAAATGTTATCAGTCTTAAATCACATCATATTATTCTGGCTTCTCTAAAAAATTGAAAGTATGGAGCTCGAATTCCTTTTCCTTACAATATATCGTTCCGATTGACTGTATCAATTTATACCACTGAAGCTATAATAAAGTCATCAATTAGATTATACTTGTTAGTTATGTTATGCAACTAATATTGTCTGATAACTGATTCAATTAATAACAATTAATAACTATATGTGTCAATGCATACAAAAACAACTATTCAGTCACAAGTATATAACTCCCTAAAGACAAACTTTGTTCTTTCTAAGGACTGATTTAAAACTATATAAAGTTAAAGATAAATGAGGACTGTCCACGTTTGGCAGCGATAATTTGTTCTGTTTTACTCCCATTGGTGTAACTGGCAACAAAAAAGTCAAACATCAAGACTAATATGATAGTATAATCTTAAATGGGAGTCATGGAAAACACTCTGAGAATGAAAGACAGGAAATTCGGATTTTAGGAGAGATTTAGAAGAGTCGGAGAAGAATATTGTACAAGAGTGGGAGAATATTTTTTTCTCACTTGATTTCTGCGAAACGTCTGGGGATTTGGAGCATAACCTATAGTTCCTTGCATCTTCATTGTACGCAATATTTCAGGATCAATCGGTGGTGTTCTTCTGTAAAGATATAGAAAACAAGTTTGGAATTAGTTTTTTTTTTATTAACACTACTTGTTCAATTTAATTGTCAGTTATCATTACCTACCTATAAACATTTCTCAAAAATTCCTCTGGCCAATCGCTCAATAATGGCTGTCCAGTATAATACATTGGTATTGAACTTAGTGGTGTAATATCATCATTGAATGATATATGTGGAAGTGGCTCAACTGGATCAGCAAATTCAGTTGGTCTGGATAAATGAAAACAGAATCATTGTTCTATGCTTTCTAACTTCAGCTGGAATTTTTTTATTTAAAAGATTTAATATATTTACTAACCGAGAAAATGTATTAAACTGGGGCTCGGATGTATTTGTAGACATAAGATGTATAGAACCTGCCGAATCTCCAAAGCACAGACACTGAGATGTAGAAGATACATCAAAGGATAATATTGCTCCACTATTTGCAACCTATCGATACAAGAAAACTTGTACATTATGTAATTATAGATCACCCTTTTGCACATATGACATATAACATTTACCTGATACAAGCATGTCACAGATGGCTGTACATTAGCATAGATAGTGTCAAGAAGTTGCATTTGTCCCGATGGTGCTACAACAGCTAAACGACTGGAATAGCTGGGTAGGAACTTCAATAGAAGAGGGCACACCAAAGTTGCTACTGGGTTTAATGCTCTCATTTGTCTCAAGTCATATGCCATTAAGAATCTATCTACTGTCAAACCCTGACGACTAAATCAAGAAATTAAATGAGTTAAAAACTTTAACAATTACAATAGTGTTCTCAATGATATATTAATTATGGTGTTCTAAATCTTACCAGTTACTGAAACCACAAGTAACAAGGTAATTTCCTTGAACATCAAAGTCACTGAGAGAACCACTGTGAGTATCAAAAGTATGTTCTATTGATAATGTATTTGGATCCCTGAGATCGATTCGTCCAGCAGGATTGCCACAGCATATAAGTCTGCTATGCTGCCTTAAAATTGCACAACCATTTTCTCCTACATGTACCTATAAATACAATATGTTACAAATACATATCCACATAATCATGTTATTCTATCAATAGGGTGAAACTCACTAATCCAGTCTCTTTCCCTCTTGTTAGATCAAAATTGATAATTTTTTCCTGATGACCCCCCATAAGTAATCCTGTTGGTGAAATTTGAAGCATGCATTGCATGTCTATCATATTTGGTGACCTACAAATTGTTTATTTCTATACAAAAAGTTCATAAGTTCATAAATGTCATACAAATACTACAAAATTAACATACATGTGTGAAAATATTGGTATGCCACGTCTCAACTGACATCGTAGTAAACTCTGTGTCAGAATTAAAATTCCTTCATCTAATGGATGAATATGCCGAATTTCTTGAGTGGCATGAACTTGAAACGAGGTGTACTTTTGTAAACCAGGCCCATAATAAGACGTCACATGACCCTATGAAGCATTGTTCTTAGTCAATGTAATTTTAATAATTATTTAATAAATATCACAGTGTAACATGAATTAGATGTTATTTTAATCGTACGAATTACATAAAGTAAATGATAAAAGTAACAAAATGTATAATTTGTTAACTAGACAATAAATGTTATAATACCCCTTGATTTCCCATCCACATGAGCTCTTCGACATTGTCAAAGGTGACAGTGGAAACTCCAAATCTATCCCCCCCATCAGCAAGTACAGTACGAGTTTCATGGAATTCAGCCCCGGCAAATTCTTCTCCAAATTGCTCTGCTGCAGGTACATACTCATCACCAGTTAAAACATAATTTGGTTCTTCCCCTGTAATAAAAGATGAGAAAAAATGTTGACAATGGAAATTCTTGATGTTGTTTCAATATCAGTCAATATCATTAAACATAACTTGTGACAACATTTCAACATTGAATGTAGGTTACAGATTATTAACGTCGATTAATCTTTGTTATCATTGTTTCCGAATTGTAATATTTCTGCCTGAACGAGCGCCTCTAAATTTCACAGTTGAAAACAACAACATCACAGCTGATTTGAATCGCGTGTCTAACCTTTGAATTTTGCAAGATTGTTTTGGGTCGAACAGCTGATCGGAACTAAGCATCATGTACCGAAAACAGCGGAAAGAATGGGAGTAACCAATAACGGTTTATTGAATTGGTGGACAAGAATTAATGAGACAAAAGATATTACGCGATACTAACGGCTAATGGGACGCCAGATCGCGCACCATGATTCGAGCAACGAGTGTCATAGAACAAAGAGGTTTCGCGCCTTTTCGAGTCTTCCGAATCTTGAGACGTAAAGATCACATTTTGATGTAATCGAATTCATTTTGCCGCCTTCGGAAGAGAGAAAGAGTGTTAAAATGATATATATAAAATACTTACAAAGGAGTTGTTGTTCGTTAACACCGCTATCGGCCGTGGCCTGTATGGACGGGTTGTAATGACCCAAAACTGAGTATTCCATAATATTCCCGTCTTCAGGTCGTTCGATTTTGAAACATGAAATTACCGTTAGTACGAAGATAGCCGTAAAATCGTTGCTCCAATGATCATTCTCTTTTCATAGCACAATTTTGGACACGCACACGCACGTACCGTAGTCGCCTTGGCAACTGTGCAACAAGCGAAACACTTCGTCACGAATATTCACACTTTTCTCGCTACCAGCCGATTTGAACTAATGAAAATTATAGTTAGCACGACACTTTCTACACTTGTTTATCACAAGACATGAGCAGACCTACTCATCGAACAACCTTTAATTCATGTTTGCCCTTTTCTACGCGTTCACCCTTATATAGCTTTATTATGGCTGAAAGATGTCGCCACTTGCTGCTTCGCGCGTCAATCAATACTGCCAATAGCAACGACGCAAAAATCCCTAGATTTCATTATTCGGTTAGTTGTCGCCCTAAATATTGTGGAAGAAAGGCGCGAAGATGGAGAGAAAATTTAAGAAAAATTACGTTTAAAGGAGTTAGAAATTGATGGAACTGATGGAGAAAAGTATATAATTCAAATACTTTTACTATTTCATGAAATTCTTATGTTAAAGAAATAATTGAAAGTATCAGAGCAATTTTATGAATGAATTTTCAGGCCAGACGGTGTCTACGATTGAAAAACGTTCGATTCTGCTCATATATCAGTCATGCTACGCGAAAGAGTAAGTAAAATAAAAAAATAATATTCATAATTATATCGTGGATATGTTTGAAATGCACTATAAATTCAAATCACTAAGATATATGTATGTGTACTTCTGAGAAATATTTTGATAATTATTGTTCTAAATTCATAACGACACTTGTATAACGCCATCTTGATATGTTGATTTGCCTTTTGTAATAAGATTCGAATTTATTTAGCATTATATTAAAAAATTTAAACTATTGTTTCTTAATACATTCATCGACAATATTAAAGTTAATGTAATGCATTTTGTTTTTTTTAAAATATCGTGAAAAGATATAATCCTATAAGATATTACTATAACGACATTTATAATTAGGTTAATTATAAAATTCGTTATTTTCAATTGTAAATTATACAATTTTCGCTTAATTATCTGAATATGCTATTCTTTGCTTCTTGAAACGCATTTTCGTATAAAATGATTCGAGTAAAGAATGGAAGAATTTATTTGTCAGACATCGATATACATATGTACATATATATATATATGTATATATATATATATATTTCACAATTTTTGATTAACGTTTTACATATTACGTGAGAAACGATGAAAATCACAGAAGTGTCGAAATATTCGCTGTTTAAAGTGAGGTACGGTTATTAATATGAAAATATGTATCGAAGAGAATCTCTAACTTTTTTCCAAAATACATTCATATTATATTTTGATTAGTTTCACACGGTCGTCGCTTTGTATAACAATATCGTATACTACAGAGTACGAGTAGATTAGATGTACTAGCCGTGTTTATTCATTTTGCACTTTGATTTCAATTTTGCGATTACCTATTCTCAAAGACGCTTTCTACGGGTGTATTACCTAAAAAGAAAGAAATGATATCATTATATTAATTAATTTTCATGGAGAATATGTAGATTTAGATCATTGATAAAAAAAAGAAACAAAAAAATGAGCATGGACCATTTTCAATACTACGACATAGCATTTTATTCCATTATACGTTTTTAAATATATTTACTGTATGTAATATTCATTTATACGATTTTTTAATATTTATTTGGGAAAGAAAAAAATATTAAAATAGAAGCAATATGTAAAAGTTACCTTATAGAGAACAAAAACGATTAAAATTATGGTTGGTGGAACGGTAGCAGATTTGTTGTTGATTTTAACAGCGGGGGTGGGGGAGGGGGAGATTTAGAAGATTGTTTGCTACTGTAAAATTTCTGTTAAGTAGACAGAATTGTAAAATATGAACAGGAAGAAACAACGATTTCATTGGAAGTCCTTTTGGGTTGTTTCACGAAGTAGTAAGAAGTCTCAAAAAATTCGTGAACATAATCGTTGTGCGATATGTAAGACCTAACAAAACAATTTGAAATCATGTTATTCATTAAAAATCTTTTTAGTCTCATTTACAATGTTGTTGAAAACGTACCATTCAGTCTAAGACGTGTACCCTGTTAGTGTTAACGCGAATGAATTTTCAAAGAATTCAATTGATCGACCTTACTGAAACGGAAGTAAAATATAATTTAAGTTGTTAATATACGAGTTTAAGTTTGTGAAAGTTACTTCTGCATAAACGCAATTTATTATCGATGATATATAGATTCAATTAAATCAGCAACACTTGAGAAAGAATTCCGATTCTACTTTTCCAATGGATCTTCGTATTGCCTTGAATCATTACCTTTAATGCCGTCGAATCAGGCGTGTGCGATGATGAAGAGCGCTCATGAGGATTCCGACTTCTTCGTCGGATTCGGCCGATTGGCGTCTCGATTTCCGATTATTCGGTGTTCCACTGACCGATCCAGAGTTTTGTTTAGATGGTTGCGTTGGGAATGACGAGCGACGGATAAGAGGCGGCGGTCTCGCACCTACGGTTCGATTTAGTGCCATTTATGTTAAACGATACGTTTATGTAGGCTAATCGAGCTGGTCTAATTATACGGCTACCTAATAGGCGTAAAGCAGATCGATGCATTTCGAAAGATCTCGCACTCTTCATTGGGTACCTCGGTAGGAATCTCCTCTGAACGGGTAACTCGACCATGGACGTTTTTCTTGAGCTGATACTATCTGCCTTAGACGAGTCCTTATGCGTTTTTTAAACATATATATACATGTTTGTATACTCGTGTCGTATTGTTTTTCATATATATATATATTTATATATACTTTATGCAACATAGAATAGGAAAATGCATTTCGGTGCGCGTGAAATCAATCAGTGTAACGTTTCGTTGCATCCACTTTTACAAAAATATGGTTCTACTTGTTAACGTGATATGACATTACACGTCCATACTGTATGTGATTAACTAGTATCGTATGCTATAGTATCTGTTTGCGGTAGTGTCTAATCTGTGATACTAAGAATTTATTTAATGACACTTCTACTTCTAGAAATTCTCTATTCTATAACATTTCGTTCTTTAAATACCTTAGTCAATCAAGATTCTCTGTGTACTATGAATCTACACAGACCATAGTCGCAACCAAGAAATTCTAGTTCGCATATTACTATTACTTTCATCGATGTCTTTTTTTTTTTTTTTTTTTTTTTTTTAAATCGATATTCTACTATTATAGCTTTCAAGGAACATTCATGTCGAATGTTTCGTTAAACGAGCATCTCTATCTCTGCCTCTTAAATGTACCTGTAACGTATCTACACTGATTGGATTTGCAACGACGAGAAATATAATCGTTAAAAATGGTGCGTTATAAAGATCACGGAATGGATATATATCACTATCTGGATCAAAGTTACAAGATAAACTAGTGCGGTTTCCGCTGTAATACCTTATCTCTAGCGAAACGTATTCGCAATACTTCAACGAGAGCAGCGATTGCTGAAATGAGAAGCATCGTCACGAGAATGTGTCCGGCGACCAGAACCGATTTCGTTCGACGATCTTTCCCACTTTCTTCAACTTTTTCCGTCGAATTCTCACCGACGATCTCCTTCAATACCTTGGACGTTTCATTATTCCCTTTGTTAACAGGTTCGCTCTCGACATCTCCGTTATTTTCCTCCTTCGTGTCGTTAATCGGACAGATTCGCGTGTAAGTACAATTTCCATCGTAATCACTTTGAAAAACCGATATCAATCTGTCTTCGTACTCGAACCTTGGACAGCGTCTCAACTTTCGATGATCCACCGGGATTATTATTGCTTCGACTGTTACGTTCTCCGTCGTTTGTATCGTAGTATTTTCGCCGATCGTTTCGTTTCGACTGTAATAATTCGTGTTCAAGAGCAATCGCAATGGCAAGGAAAGCAACACCCCGAAGATGGTTAGTATAACGAGAATGCTGACGTTAATGCCCATCGAAATCCGCTTCTCGGACATCTTGACAGAAGCTTGTAACCGAATCGCGTTCACAGCTCGTTCCTCGTACGTTCCTGCATCTTGCATGATTGCACCGCGTTGCATTCGAAGGCCAGGGTTTTCGCGCTCATGTCGAGTCGTTTCGTTCGCTCGACACGTTCCACCATCCACCGCGGCTTTTGCTCCAGTTCACATGGTCGGCACTCGAGACGAGGGTGTAAGAACTTTCGAATTGTTATCGGATGAACGACAATGGGATCGGCCACGATATATATCTCTTTCGTTCAGACGCAACTGTTGCGCATTCTGTTGTGACTGCAGTTTCAAGTGAACCTGGATGTCGGTTGATATTGATTTCCAAGCAGAAGCGGCCCCGTACGCGCAAGTCTCGTGGTACCTCGCCTCCGTTCGAGGAAACTACGAGTTGGCGGTAATTAGATGACGTTTAAATTGACCCCTGTATTAAACAATCAACGCTTACGCAGGAATTGCCCTTGTTCGAGTTTGCATTAACGTACGTAATCGATCATACGGTCGATTATTTCTTGTACTGTGCTTACGTAGCTTGCAGTAAATTAATATGTGAATTATTGACGTCTGGTAGTTGCACAGTTATCAGTGAATGTGGTATAATTGTATGGGTTTTATCGAATTCTTAATTCATTAAGTGGCTTGCACTTTGCATCCTAGGAACATCTTTAGAAACATGGAATGTATTCTAGGGATATAGAAATTGTTTGAGCTCTTTCAAATATGAAATCGTTCGGTATTTAAAGTGACCCGTAAATGACTCACACAACACATCTACCTGTTTTGGGGAAGTTCGAATTTTCTATCTCCTAGATAATAAACCTTACGATGCTGACCTTAGTAACAAATAAATAAACACCCCAATTGTCCGACGAGTCAGGTCTAAAGTAAACATCTCGTATGGATCAGCAGTACCGTAGGGTATGCATTCATGAGAGTACAGGACCGTAAAATTTGAATAGATTCCCATCCCATAAAATCCATGGGAAGTCCGGGGTAGAAAAGTAATATATAAGGAACAAATAAAACTTCTTGAAAGAGTATTGACAAAGATTAATTGCGATTTTCATTACGACGTCATATTCTTTGTGTTATACTATACCGTATTCTGAATCTTAACTTGCAAATACATAACATAAACATACTACTACTCGACATCTTTCATTTACCCCCACCTTGAACGTTAATTTCGTTCAAGGTTCGCGATAATAACCGATCAGTTGCAACCTGACTGATCGTCATTTAGTTGAGAATTCGCAACAGAAACGTCTTGTAAAAAAAAAATGCAATCTGCTGGTAGGAATGGGACGATTG